GAAAAACTAAACTGGTTTGAATTAACATTGATACATTAATAACACCCCGTTCTTTAATCCTTAGATATGGCAAGCTCTTCTCTGCCAGAATAGTTCTATAGGCCAAAGCAGAAACCACAAATTATTTCTATCCTTATTTCTTTAATTCCATTGGGAGAAACATTTTCCTCTGCAGATAGACTTTTCATCTTCAGGCATTGATGGACATACCATTGTATTATCATTCTTAAATCTGAGCATCGGACTAACAAATGACACCGACACCCAAGCTTTGGTGGAAAAAAAACACCGTCTGTTTGTTCTTTAGGCCGTGACTTTAGTAGGGAAAACTGTGCATATGTTTGTGTGTGTGTGTGTGTGTGTGTGTGTGTGTGTGTGTGTGTGTGTGTGTGTGTGTGTGTGTGAGGGGGGGGGAGTAGTTTAGGTACGAACATGATGATGAATAGCTTTACACTTTAAACTTAGAGGTCGATATCCTTCGCCCTGGGTGTCGGAAACTACTAATAGGATCGAAGTAGGTCACAACGCGATGTCAATGAATTCATTCATGTGGGGTATGAAAGGGGGCGTGGTCACAGTTTTTAAAAAAATTGTCATTGTTATTGTTTTTGTTTCTTTTTTCATCTTTGGTGCTGATGGTGGGGGAGGGTTGGGGGTTGTATTATGACAGCAATATCGAAGGGGTGAAAACAGCCAATTAGCTCACGCTAGGATCACACACAGAGAGGCAATTATCCGGAATTCCTTTAGTAAACTAAAAGCCCGAGCACTATCATTATCGGCTCCAGGGTCATCGATCAGGCTTGAATTGTTTTCGTTAACAACAGATTTTCGTCACTCCTGCTTTGCTATCTGGTAGGATTGGGGGATTGGTATTTTGAGATTGTGCGATAAAGAGGAAAAGATGGCTTTATCGCCTTCATACCTTACAAATATGACTCTTCAAAGGGCGTTAACCAGACTGTCAGCCAATCTGTTTCATCATGTGAAAGGACTACTACTTTTTTAATGTGTTTGTGTGACTAAAGAGAAGCACATCAACGCAATATTGGTCATTTCAGGCTGGGATAAAGTAAGACAGACAGACAAAAACAAAAGAGGGAAAGAAAAGAGAATGAACCTACCAGTGGGACTCGCAAATCATTTCCTACTTTCAATAACATGTTCATTCTATCCTTAAAATTCTAAAAGACTAAGCTCTATGTGTGTCAAGCTGATGACTCTGAGTTATGAGTGCGGTGGATGTAACCGTCATGTTCATTAGTGCGTGCGAAAGTCAAAAGAAAACGGGGGAAAATACACAAGCTTAAATTGCGCAATGGCAATTGTATGCTGCTGCTGTTCAACGGCTCGAAGTAAAGCACCGAAAGTTTTAAAGCTATTCCGCACTACATGTAATTAAAAAATACTTTTGTTTATCCTTCTAGAAATTCTTACTTTGACGTTTTGAAAAATAGTTTCTATGTGTAAATGCCCATTATTATCCGATGATGCTTTTTGGTTCCAGTAGACCGAACCAAATATATAAATATCATTCTTGTAACGTCGCGGCAAGAGAGCATAATCAAAGTAAACAACAGAAAAGGTTTAATAAAGAACAATGAGTTTGGATGACTTTGAAGTTAAGCATTATTGGTATTGTAGAAAAGGTAACTATTTAACACTTATTAAACTCTGTTAGAATGTTTCAGGGGCAACACTTTCGGAATTGACTTCGATCTCCGATAGGATAAAGTCTAGTCGCTATAGAACGACGACCATCCCCCCTCCCCCCGAAGCAGCTCAAATTCACGAGCAGCTCATTACGAGTTAACACGATACTAACAAATCTATAGACGTGCCCTTCTTGCCAACAACAAATCCTATATTGAAGCTAACAGAACTCAAGGGGGCTCTCTTGGCCTAGAGGTTAAAGTGTTTGCCTCTTATTCAAAGGTCCCGGGTTCGAATCCAGTTGGCGACCAAAAAATTTTCTTCTCTAAAATTGTCTCCTTACACCCCCTTTCCTGCTCTCTAGCAATGTTCGGACATCTGCTTCCGTCTCCGATTTCTGCCCCCACCCCCTCTTCTGGGCTTCTGATTCTTTCTGTAGCCTTTCTACTGCTACTCCTTGGCTCTTTCTTACTGCTGTCGTTCAGCCACACCACTGATTTTCTGGTACGAAAGATCTACACCTACCCTTCTCAGACAAGGGCGAAACATCGTGGAGGGCTCGTGTGCAAGTTGCGCACGTTAAAGATCCCTCGTTGGTCTAAATCGATAAGAGAAGGCTTCGGACGAGCCCCGGGCAAAATTCAAAATTTCCTACCAACTGAAACTATTAGGTGTGTCCCGCTCTCTCATATGACCTTATGCAGTTGCGAGAGCCGAAAAACACTTACTAAAAAGAATTTTAAATAAACTACAAAACACATAGATTGCTTCTTGATATCCAAACAAGGAACACTCAGTGCGTTTTGTAGGCGTTAAATCAAAACAAAGATTTGGATAATGGGTAGGAAAGGAGTGGTACATTAGAAGGATAAAAGAACGGGCAATATTGACGTTTTTGTATTTTAATTGTAGGTGTTTTACGCCCCCATCGGAACAATGTGGATTATTTACGTGGGGGGCTTCGACGCTGACTGCATGGGTCAACCAGAAATGACAGTGACGCAAGGTAAGAGGCCGACTTACTGGTTAAAAATCCTCCCCTCACAGCAATCAAACTAAGGTCCTTTGTATGAGACAACGTAGCGCCTAACCCTTATACCACAGACACCGTTCATCTAGACGTGTGTAAACGCAATAAAATATTGAATTACAAATCAGAGGCTTCATTAGGACTGACATTTGTAGGATAAATGTCAAGATAACCTAAGGCGTATTCATGGTTGTGGCTCGAACGAAAGCAGATTAATTAGTGGCGCTGCTGGATTACTACAATGTTAGGAAACAGGAGAAGACAGAGCAATATTTGTTTATCAACACCAGGAGTACATACATAGTATTATATCAGTAGGGTTTTAAATGCTAGGACAACGCAAATGGCTGATACAAATTCAAATAGTACAGCCTTTAAATGCCTGCTTCCAGCCTCACACCTGATGAGTGGGGTAAAATTTTCATCGGGATTTCGGAGCAGGACTTTATAAAGCAATTGTAAACAAATAAGAAAGGGATAGAAAAAAGTTAATCATTGTGTTCAGGGGTCAGACAAAGCTTTCAAGTAAAAGCTCACGGAAACAACGTCTACCGACATTTACCAAAATGTGAAACTAGTCTCACCTGGGATTTCCACAGAAGGTCGCTTGCCCGTGGGCGAGGTGGGTTCCGATCTTCCGCTTGTAGACGGCTCATCCAGGGACCGATGCTCCGCCTTCCGGAAGCCCGTCCTGTTTGCGGGTCCATGCGGAGACGTGGGCACCGTGAAGGGGATCTGTTTGAGGCTGGAGGGAAATACGATGAGAGAAAGATAACGCCTGAATACCGGCTTCTCTTTCACGTTGGCATTGAAAGTCAAAGCAGAGCGAGGCGTTTTGCTTAGTGGGTGGGGAGGAAAGACTTTGGGGGACGCAGTGTTGGTGGGAGTGGAGGTCGGGGTGGATTTGGGAGAGGACGAGAAGGAGGAAGAGGAAGAGGACGAAGAGGAGTGTCTGGCACGCGAATAGGACTTGTATTCTGTGTGTTTGGATGCCAGTTTGCTCTGTGCTAGCTCTGCCATTCCTGGTTTTGTCCTCTCCGGACTGGCCAGGCCACTGAGTGGAGCTGAGGCACTGTACGGGTAGAAAGATCCGGTGCCGTGGGGCGGACTTCCCACACCTGTAGCACTGTTGTTGCTTTTGCTGTTCAGGATAGATGTTAGAGTGTTGTGCAAAGAGGACATGGATGACGAAGACGTCTTCTTCTCGCTCGCTTCATATTTTTGCTTTTCGTGATCGTCCATTGTTGCGCAGCGGCGTAGCCGAGCGAAAGAAAAGATGGGCGTCCGCTCAGGGTTCGGCGCCACCACGCAGTTCTGCTCATCCATATTGACTCTATATCAGTTACCTTAAATGTTTGCACAGAAACGAATGAAGGTAAACAACTCCGAAGTTAATAGAAGAGAAAGTTTTTGCAAAAGCATATCAGTGAAATAAATTTAATCAGTCTACAAAACACAAATCTGAGTCTGCCAAACCGCATCAGATCTATTGAAGCGTAGTCAAAGGTTTTTTTACAATACAGTTCCTGTTTCATAAGATTATGGGTTCTTCCCCTGCTAAATATTGTAAACCTTAGTAATTGTTTTTACTGATAAATATGTAGCAACCGCCAGCACTTTGAAATGTTTTTAAATTTTAACTAAACCCAGGGAGCCACCAAAACTATCAGATATTACTATATTACGTTAAAACAAGTTAAAATACTTTTGAAAGGACATAGTACAATAAATTTTTCTTCTTCTTTAATAACAAATAGAAAGAATTGGATATCGTATTGCTATCCAAGCCACCTATTTACAATACGAGCAGATGGAAACAGAAACCGACACAGGCCTCCTAGTCAGATTGCAGTGTCACATCTATGAAGACACGGGGGTCCGGAAACATAGCAGTGCCACTTGTGTGAACTATAATGCCAAGGTGTTACCATTACTCTGCAACCCTTCTCCCTAAAAAATCCGAATTAATGTAGCTAGATAACGTTTTTCTATGCTGTATTTAAGCCTGCTATGCTAGGTGCAGCACATTGTGCACACACTTGCTGTATGGTAAAAACAATCTGACACAGAGAAATTATGTTCGTCCTCAAAAAGAAAACATCCCGAAAGTCATATCCAAAGACACGATATCGGAAAAGAAGGTAAGGTATAACTCTTGCGTCCAGTGAGCATAACACTTCATATTCAGTATCTCACAAACATTTCTCAGAAAATTCAAAACGCAGTGGAAGACATCAGCTCCCCGCTTTAAACCTCGCGTCTATAAGTGCGCGTGAACGAGAAAGAACGACTCGTGAACGGCGAGTGAGGGAGTGAGTCAGGGAGAGGCGAGCTATCATACCACTCACTCTTGCAATACCGGTACCTCACGCGGCTCGCAGCCGGGCGGGCTTTCAGATGAGCGTGTGGGGAGGGAAAATAAAAGTTTATATGTTTCGGCCCTGGAAAAGGAGCATTTAAAGTACGCGCGTATTTCATGTATAATTTGAAGTAATTTGGTTAATGTAAGGGCGGGGCTAAGGTTAGAAGTCATTCTTTTCAAGATTGCTGTAGGTAAAATAGTGTACCTTAGACGTACTTGCCAGAATTTCCGAGTTTTTGTGGAGGTGAAGAGTGTCATTATCCTCAGGGGAAGAAGGCGATGTTGAAGTAGAGGATCCGTTTATTTTTAGTAATGTTCAATACACACACGCACACACACACACACACACACACACACACACACACACACACATATATATATATATATGTATAATATTATTCATATGTATACATATAATATATATTTGTAAGATATACCCACATTTATACTCTTAACTACACATGCAAAATACACATATATACGGTAGATAGACAGTTTATGTTCATACGCATTTCTTTGTCTAAAAGACATTTTCTCGATTTAAATTAAAACACGTGAGCTCTCGTGGCCTAGAGGTTACGGTGTTCGCCTCTCATTCAAAGGTCCTGGGTTCAAATCCGGATAGCAACCGAAACATTTTCTTCTCTAAAATTGTCTCCTTTCACCTCCATTCCCTGCTCTCTAGCAATGTTCTGTCGTCTGATTTCGTCTCCTCTTTCTGTACCCACCCTTTCACCTCCTTTGCCCCTCCTCTTGGCTCCTGACTCTTTCTGCAGCCTTTCTACTGCTTCTCCTTGGCTCTTTCTTACTTATGTCTTTCAGCCACACTCCTGATATTCTGGTAGGGAAGATCTACACCTAGCCTTCTCAGACAAGGGCTTGAAATCTCGGAGGTCTCGTGTACAAGTTGCGCACGTTAAAGACCACCTTGGTGGTCTAAAATCAATAATAGTAGGCTTCAGCCGCCACCCGGGCAAAATTCAAAATTTCCTACCAACTGAAAAATGTTTAATGTGTCCCGCACGCTCATATGACCTTATGGAGTTGCTAGCGCTGTAAAACACTTACCCAAAAATAAAAGAATTAAAATAATTCTTGGAAAGAAGAAAAAAAATTGGGAATGTTTTTAGACAAAAGACACAATTTAGAAAACAATAAGCATACACAAAAGATATTGAGGTCGTTCACAACTATGGAAACTCTGTATTCATTATTTCCATTTCTACACTATATGCTCGTGCATAACGATATTTCTAATAAATTTTAGCTTATTTTCGTTTAACTACATAATTTGTGCTTTTCTGAGATCAAAACACACTATGTTGAAATCATGGTCTAAGCTGCAAATTAATAAATAGGTTCACCAGTTCAGAGTTGCGACTGTGAGCTTAATGTGTCATTCTGCAACGCCAACTCCAGTGCAAGCCACTTTCAACCCAAGACTTTCGTACAGTAATATAGATTTTAAAGGATTTTAAAAAATGTTCCTGTGTCAACAGCTACTTTTTGAATATTCCTTACTTCACAAATTGCGTAATAAATAGTTCTGTTTGAAAGTGCACACTATACCACCGTCGGGTGTTTCTTGGTTCAGAGGTTATGGTGTTCTCTCATTCAATTGGTCCTGGGTTCGAAGCCTGACAGATTCGGAAAGTTTTCTTCTCTAAAATATCCTCCTTTCACTTCCCTTTTCTCCTCTCTAACCATGTTCTATACTTTTGCTTCCACTTCCTTCCCCCTCCTCTGGGCTCCTTACTCTTTTTGAAGCTTTTCTACTATTACTTCTAGACTCCTTTTTGCTGTCTTTCAGCCACACCCCTGGTCTTAGGGTAGGTAAGATTTATCACATAACCTTCTCGTATATTCTGAGGTCCCGTATGCAAAATAGATCAAAGTAGGCTTCCTCCTACTGGAAACAAAAAAAAGAGTACTGAAAGTTACATCAAGCCGTTCCTGTTATACGGTGCGAAGCATGAACAATCAATAGACAGCTGGACAGAACAATTGAGGCGACAGAGTTGTGGTTCATAAGACGCATGCTGCGTATCCCAAGGACAGCTAGAAAAACAAATGAAGAAATCTTGGTTGAAACAAATTGTAGACGACAGCTCATGACGAATAATATTCGAAAGCGACAGGCACCTTTCGTTGTACACACAATGCAGAAAAAAGCGTTGGAGAATAATATTGTAACAACAGGCCAGTTTGATGGAAAGAGAGGCAGAGGCAGACAGAGGGAAAAGATACTGGACAAGTTACCAACATGGCTGGGAACAGCAAGAACAACACAGACACCATCGCTGCAACGCAGGACAGAGGTAAATGGAGGTCCATGATCACCCACCCCAGTCGGCAAGGCACCGTATGACGACGATGAGGCTTCTGCCGCCACCCCGACAAACTACAAAATTAATCCATACCAAACTGAAAATGTTTAATGTGTCCCGCGCGCTCATTATGACCTTATTTAGTTGCAAGTGCCAAAAAACACTTACCAGAGAAAACCCGCTGACAATGACAATACTATTAAGCTGTTACAGCTTTCGACTCATAAGTTTAATCCTCGTGTACTCCCTCACCTTACAGTTAATGAAAACCTCAGCGAGCCAAGCAGATATTCACAACTTGTAAACCGGACACTTTTTCATTAGCGTCATCATCAAGCTTGCAGCAGTTTTTACACTTTTACTGTTAGCAACGCCGGCAGCGAGTATCACATTACCAAGCAATACGGTCCTGATTACCATCCTGAACCTCTCCTTCACATAAAGAATTTCGGACTGACTTCTTGGAGTAAGTGAATCGTAATTACATGCAGTTACAATGTAACGTATTTTGCAAAATCAATCTGAACATAACTTCGAGTTGGCTATTATTGTTAAGACATCAGGTTCACAATGGTATACTAATCAGATGTTGTCATTTTGATAGGACTGGGAACGATGGAATATACTTGTCGCACGTATGTCTCTGAATGAACACGAGGAGGATTTACAGCGCACTATCGTCCAAGGTGAGTATAGTATGTACATGTATTTTGTCACAGCTCGGAACGAGAAAACGCTGGGCGGACGTGCATTGGTATAGGACTCCCTGACCATCTATGGTGGGCGGACGTGCATTGGTATAGGACTCCCTGACCATCTATGGTCTTCACGGGCAAATGGGGCTTCAAGGGCAAAGAGAGAGAGAGAGAGGGGGAGAGAGAGAGAGAGAGAGAGAGAGAGAGAGAGAGAGAGAGAGAGAGAGAGAGAGAGAGAGAGAGACGAGACAAAGAACACATATTCTAGAAGGCGATAAGGCCCTTTTAAAATCATCACAGCGACTAAAGATGGACATTAACCTCGACCTTCTGCAATGTAAATCGATGATGTAGTCTACTACACCACAACCCAAGCGTGCATTTTATGTCGGCTTCAGCAAACACTTGGAACAAAAATCAATAATATTTATGGCCACACACAAAAAAAACCGATTTGAAAAGCAGTTGAAATGCTTGCAACAGTATTAAAAAAAGAATTTTTGGAAATAATTATTTTTTTTTAAATTCAATAAAAAAATAAAATAAGCAGTAACAGCAGACTTCGTCGAATTCATCATCATCACCATCATCATAATCATCATCATCATCATCATCATCATCATCATCATCATCATCATCCTCATCATCATCATCATCATCATCATCATCATCATCATCATCATCATCATCATCACCATCATCATCATCATCATCATCACTTTTAAAATCCAGATCTGAAACACACATCAGCGATCATGGTTCGCCTTTCATTTCTCCGCTCGGATGCTCTAAACGACCCAATATCATCCTTGTCTTTCTGAACAGCAGAATAAATGATATATAGCCGAATTAATGACCATAGATTAGGAGCTCATGCAGAAGAAAATCTGAGGGAATAAGAAAGGGGAGACAATTGAAGACATTTGTAAAGGAGTCTTCCGGAGCCGAACAAAAGAATTTCAAGGATCACATAACAATAGACCTTGCTGCAGAAAGCGAGATTTCTGTGGGTTATTTTCTTTTCAAAAAGAGGTATTTTGAAGCTCCTATCAACACAATTTAGATCATTTAGGAGACGGTTTTCGACCTTGCCTGTCAGTGCCAACCCGTGATGAGAGTGATACAGCTGCCAAGCAGAAGGATCGAGATACTCGATGAAAGTGCTATCACTCGGGAATCGAACTCATGTCTTCTGCGTGCGACAGCGAAGTAACTGTACTTACTGCTACACCACAGACGCCGGTGCTCTTTTGGTTGTTTGCTTCCAAGTTGCAAAAACCTTCTGCTGTCGTGGGTGTAGGGGACTGACCTAACACATCGTGAGTTTGTAACTAATTTTATTTTCACAAGTGTTGTTTCAGACAAAATTCTCAGATTTTTACCCCATGGACACTGATGGGAACATGAAATTTACAGATTGTGTTTGTATGTGTTTTCACGCTCACATCGTCACTAGTTAAATTATTTAGGAGGCGGCCGTCGACCCTGCCTGTCAGGGCCAACACGTGCTGAGAGGGATTTAACATCCCAGCAGTAAGACCCCAAAACTCTATAAAAATTCTCCCCAGTTTGGCCCCAAACTCAGGTGTTCTGCATACGACGTCAAAACGCCTAACTGCTGCACCACTGCATGCTCTAGGGATGTAGTATTGATGCTTACAGTAATAGATGACTAGTTACTATAAACATTCGAGCAGGACAGAAAATGTATATGGGTCCACTTTCCAAGATTTATGCTTTTTTCCTGGGTGATGAACAGTCACGTGAACGATCTCAATATTTGTCGTCTTGGCTCGATCTTCTTTTAGGTAGTTCCATCTAGTGGTACATTCAACCTTTTGAAAGCATTAGGTTGTATATTGATTTCGAGCTTCTTTGCTGAGTTTAACCAGGTCATCTACACAAACAGGCATTCTACGGACGAACAATGAGC